CAGAGATACTTGAACGATTACTGGGGCACACGTACGTGTCCCAGCAGTTGCGAAAGGGGTTGAGACTTGAGACGCGACAGTATACTGTTATAACGGAGAGTAATCGCAGGATCTTACATAAATGCATATTTCAATGCCACGCAATCGCAAAATTGCATTCGGGCAACACACATGCGAGGCTACTCGCTACCTGCTGGCTCATACAGCGGCGTCAAAAGCGCCTCGGAACCGCTTCGAGCGTGTTCCCTTCGTCGAATTCGCCCAGTCATTCCAACAATGTAGTTACCTGCATCAATATACGCCCCTCACCCCATCTTCATGTGTTTTTGCCAACGTTTACACTCATTATACTCCAGCGAAGGCACTTATCCCGCGAATAATAAATGTCCTCTCGGTCTCCCACGAGTTTCCTCTTCCTCGTGTTTGTCTTCCGAATGCCATCCCGTGATAACGCCAACATCGATCATATCGGTTAGTGCATACCACGGCGCAATAATGTGTTAACCTTGCGGGAAGGAAACGCAATCTATACTGTTGATTCCATCGAGGAAACGCAGCGATCGTCCCATCCGCAAATTGCGCATTTATTTGATTCGTCTGACGCGTGCAAGCCAACACTGATTGCGAGCATAACGCATCGACGCTGGAGTATTTCCACGACGATATCAATCCTGAGGGACGCGTTCTCCATTACGGTGTCACTCGATAAACACTCCGCTTCGCGTATCTAGGGAAAAATTTGCTCGCGTAGCAGAAATTGTTAATTATTAATAACTTCTACTCAAACAGATACACTTACTCGACATTTTGGTACATTAAAGTACTGAACTTCTAGGTCCTAATGGCATCAGGTTAAAACTTGTGCAATAAACAGATCGATGATAATAGAGACAAGCTTGAGGACTTGGAAGACTGGTACTTTGGTGTACCAAAATGCCGAGCAAGTATATTTGGGTAAGCTAGAGTTATCAGTAATTAAATACAGAAGCGCAGAATTAATTTCTGGACCTATTATATCAAATATTCCTACTTAAATTAGTGTTATAAATAATCCGACTCCATCAGCTTCAACAGTCTGTTATCCCTTCCGTCTAAGGAACGAAGACCAAGGTCCTGTCCGTATCCTTACGGTAATATCTCAATTTCTCGAATGATTCTACATCTTTCCACGTTACCTCGATCATTCTTCCTGGCGCAAAATCCGAAAAACTCGATCTGGACGGCGTTGAACCGACGCGGCGGGCAGAGAAGGGATCCAAAATTTCAATCAGCCAACGGTGGAATGGGATAGAGGAAAATCAGAGAGAGGAGGAAAGAAGGTTACATTATCGGCGCGATATCTCTCCTTGTTCTCTTTGGTCTGGCCCCCATGCTCGGGAAGGACGACCAGGCCCAGAGTGATGTAAGAGAGATGTACCTACAGGGCGCCTCTTCTTCCTTCTTCCTCCTCGTCTTCCTTCGCTGTCCCCGGCGTCTTCGTTCTCCGCCTCAACCCTCCTGGGTCGTGGGTCTCTCTTCGTCCTGTCGATGGGCCCCGTTGCTTCTTTCTTTCCGTTTCACGCTGGCCCGTTCGAAGGAAGCGTCCATATCCAGCCCTGGCCCGGTTGAATTTAACGTGGCAGGTGCCTGCTGAATGGACATTGGGCTCCGGTTCTTCGTTTCTGCTCTCTCCAACTTTCCTTCCTCTTCCTTCTATCGACGATCCTCCTCCTTCTCTATCTCACCTGTCTATGCCAGGGTTTCCCAACCGCTGGTCCACTCGTAGCCTTTCGTAGCGCGGCTTCTCGTCGACCATTCGCTACCTTCTCCAGCTCCACTCGCTGGAACACTTTTCTTACGAGGTAAAGCAATCCTCCTCGGTCTACTCTTGCGGCACGGTGGATCGACTTCTGGGTAAATACTCTAATTGCGATTACAACTAACCGTTGGTATCTTCATTCTTCATTTGTATCATAAAGGAGCACTTCGTGACTTTCCACGGTGCATTATTTCTTTACAGATGAATAGACTGTATCCGCCTGCGGTAGTCTCCGGATCAGACTCTCTTCTATAAGACATCTTGTTGGCGGAGTCATAGGCTCCCGACGCGGTGCAGTTCGCGTCAGATGTCGTGAGTCGGGACTGACCCAGTAAGTCTGTCTGCATGGTCCTGTCCCCTTTAAAAAGGGGAAATTTTCAATAATTGCTTGGCATAGTCAGAGTAGGAAATCGAAGGAACTTTGTTTTCTTCTATCTTCCTCGCGGGTCTCCACTCGTAGCAACCTCCACGTGGTGATATGCCCGGTAATCGGTATTACTCGCGACGAAAGATTCTTCGAACGATCCTTCGTCGCGAGTAATAGCGAGCTAATTGCTGCCAACTTGTAATAAGATCTTTAGATTTAGATTAGGATAACACCAAATATTTCTATAAAACTTAGAGTTTCGGAGATATCTGAAGTGCTAATAGTATATCGATACGTTTCACGATCCGTTGACCTTGAGCTGGCCTTGCGCGACGTTCGAAATCGTGGTATGTTAATAGGTCCGCGACGCGCGTCGTATGGTGTAATTCTGTTATCGAGCAAGTCCGAAAACTATTTGTTGACCTAACACCGTAACGAAACTTGTTTGCGACACGAGATTTCAACTGCAGTCAAGGCAGCACCTCGAGCGGTCCCTCTCGTCTCGAGGAGGTCTTAGACAGCTGGGAAGCGAAAAATCACGAAGAACAACGATCGAACTGGTGGAACTGGTGAACGCCGGTTTCGTGACTCGCGTCACCGCTTCAAAAGGGCAAGAACTGTTCGACCGGCGTGCTTCTGATCATTTACAGAGAGAGTCACTCTCGTTGACGAGCATTCGCGTTACTTCTTTTGCCAGCGAGTGGCCTCTCCAATACCATTCGCGATTCTTGCCGAAGAAGCCAAGCGTTTCGACGTCGGTTAACGTTTTATGCAGCCTATTCGTAGCCTTTTTAATCCCAGGATCCAGGTGCTTTTGGTTAGGTACTCACAGTGGTCCATTGGAGGAAACAATGAACCTTTTGTTATATCGAACATGGAGCATTGTAGGAATTAATATTAGCCTAGATTAATATGTACTGATATAGAAAATCATATTAGTATTATAGAAATTATTTTTATTATAGTATTGCAGTATTAGTAAACATTGTTACCTGCTGGTGGGTTCCCCGAAAGAATGATTATTTATTACCCCTTGTAATTTTACAACACTTTTATACACATGTCAATAAAAAAATATAACAGGACGTGAATATTTTTGTAGTTATCCAACGATGACCGTTGATAGGTTCCTTGACTTGACGTTATTGGCATCGAGCAACGATCGTTAGCATTCCCTACTTCCTGTATGCATACTTAAGGATAAGTATTGCAAATAATAGTTGAGCGTGGAGGAAGGATATCAGGATCATCCGGTGTAATGGTTTCGGATTTATGAGGTACGCGTCGGTTACGCGCGCGTCTCGTATTTCCAATAAAACGTCGAAAAATGGAGGAAACTGGGATCTGGCCTTGGGTCGAAACACTTACTCGACCTTGAATCCTTGCGGAGTAACTGCTTCGACGCACGATGGGTCGATAAAATACCACAATGATTTCTTCATTAACTTCCGATTAAAGTCTACTGTTTCCAAAATTCTCTTTCGTTTCTCAATTAATATCTTCTTATCGAAATTTGGAGCAAAAAATGTAGTAACGAAATGTAGAAGCAATCGGAGTGATTCACAAGTAACTTCCACTACAAAGTAACAAAGGATCATGCTTATGGTATACTTTTAGTACGCTATTTCTAAAATTCTCGTCCCTTACTATTTTAAACATGTTTTTTTTCATTTCGAGTCAATTAAAGCCCATGTTTTTCAACTTTTGTTTTTCTATCAATCTGGAGCCTGGAAACTTTTCCATTTTTAACAGAAGTGGGTTCGGAAAAGTTTCAATAGCGATTCTCATGATCCAAACAAAGATGGTACCTCAAGTTAGGGCGCGCATATATGCGTTTCTTCTTCGTTTTTCGCCGTTTTCACTATTTCCTAACTCGAGAAGTCGCGACACGTCGTTCCTCGTAAACGACGACGTAAACCCGTCGGTGTGCTTTGGCCTCTTAATAGTCCGACCTTGAGCCAGAACTAAGGAGTGCCTTTGCTACAGCGTAACCTTCGTATACCTTCATCAGCAGGGCTCAACCTACGACTGACAGCGTATTTTTGTTTCCTTCGCTCCGACGCTAATTAAATTGAGGAATTCTCCTTGTCCCGTTTCGAAATCTCTCTTCACGGACGATTGCTACGTATCGTACGGACTACAAATTTTCCTATCCACGAAATTCGTCATTCCATACAAGAAACATATTAAAAAACCATTTACTACATACAGGAACGGTATAATAAATGATAAAGAAAAAACAAAGCAATTGTTCAGGCGACAGTGCAGGAGAACAGATAAATATGAAAACGAAAGGTAAATTATATATAAGGGCGTAGAGAAGAGTGCCTCGGTGAATATCTATACGAATGGCGCCAAGGCAGCCATGGCTAAGCTAGGCAACCTGCCTTTCTACTTAACAAACGATCAATTTAATTAACCAAGCTACTTTCAACGATGACTTGTAACAAGCTGTAAACTCGAGGGACAAGAGAGAATAAACAAGTCTTATTTAGTAAACACATAAAAGTTCTCAACAGCTTGGCAGATTACGCGACCGATCCTCTCAAAGAGTGTTAATATAATTGCGAGAATCATCGATCCTCAAAGTGGATTACCGTAATTGCCCGACGAGGTCGACAACTGCGTGATACTCGTCAAATCGACGCGATCATTCCAAACAGGAAATACGAGATTTAATTTCTTCATATACGATACGTAAATATGCCCTGAAATCGCGATACAGATTCCTCGATCGATAAAATGCGACGAATCGAAAGTGGACCGACGACGAAAGAGCCGCGAAACGAACGGAAACGGAACAAGAGCCGTGTATATACTCTCTAATGCTTGAACATGTCCGAAGACAAATTAATCTTCGCTCTCTGCGATTCAGCAGCGCGAGATGGAATGCGTTCGAGGGAGTAACGGGTACAAAATATCCTGCATACACGAATCGCGAGGCCACCTCTCCTCACCGTTCCAGGGACGACCATAAGCCGTCGAAAACCACGGGCAGAGATTCCCATTATTCTACCAAACGTCTGTGGGAACCTCCCAACTCCCTTTGTGGAAGCTCATAAATAATTCAGAGTTTCAAAAATGATCCAATAGTTCTAATTGATAGAGAACTGCCAACTTCAAAGTTCAACTTACCATCAGAGCTGGTGGTTAAACGAAAGAATTGTTCAGAAAATTTGCCGAAATTTACAGAAAGAGGGTGTGAATTATGAATTCTACTATAACCTTCGTACTTATCGATATTTCTTTGGATGTAAAAAATCCAATGGATTTCATTTTATAGAAATGATGTTAAGGGTGGTTATTTCAAGAATGTTTATTTCGCATGACAAATGATCGTTAAATTGCTAAACAAAAGTTACGTTATTCATTTTTAATCATTTTTATGTATAAAAACATTGACATCAAAAATTCTTAAGAACAATTTTTTTCCTTTCGCGTGTACGTTAATTAGCCTCTTGATCAGCCAGATGGAAAGAGTTAATTGGATTATAACTGTGCACTCGTGTTGTTAAATCTAATTGCAAATAGGGCTCGAGAGCACCTGAGTTAAAAGCTACACGGCTAGAAGAAAATCAGACCGAAAACAAATATGCGATAAGACAATTGCTTGCACGCGTATCGATTGTTGCTATCTGTAAAACAATTCGATGCGTAACACCTACGATACGATCTCAATAACTGGATGTGTTTCAAGGCGTTCTGTGCCAGAAACTGGGTTATCAACGCACTTATCAACACAGAGTAGTACCGAGGTACGCGTAATCCAGAAATGGGATAAACTTTACTCAAACGATAAACATCGAATAATACCATTGCATAGTGGTGCAATTAAATCTATCTGAAATGGCGCAAATTCTGTAATTTGCATTCTAGTGCTCATTAAACGAGCGCATATGTACGATATTAAATGACGAATACAAGTGTTTATCATAGCTGATCTTTCACCTGTTGCTTGAAATTTGTGTACAGATAAAAATTTCGCCAATCTCGGACAGGTAAAAGAGCAGACCTTTCGGAGCGGAGTTTGAGATAGATACGAAACGCGACAAAGAGAGTGAAGTTATGGCAATGACGTAAGAAACGGGCTAATCTCGTACGTGACCCCATTATTTATGCCAACTGTGAACCATTTGCCTGGAACAACATCTGCCCAAGGCATAGCAGGAATTCTTCCTTTTTTTCAACTTGAAACTGTTTAACACAATTGATCAACTCTACGAACACGTGTCGATAATTTATTCAAGGCGTTAAATACAGTTGTATGTACAGAGTAACGTTAATCGTAATGTAAACGGGCAATACAAATACATTTCTGTGGCAACAGTTTCGTTTCGTAACATTAATGACTTGAATAGAATTTTAGACTCCAATTTATGCAATACAATTCACATGATCTGTTCAATCCTGCAACTTCCTTTGGAGTTAGGATCTTTTAATCCAGTCTCCAAAAGCGACAATGTATTTTCCAAACGTTGGTAATTCCCAAAAGCTCTTTCAGGAAACGGTTGGGGCCCTAACGTATTTATCGATCGTATCTCCACGAGCAAAAACGTTACCTACCCTTACGTTACAAGAGTGACAAGTTTCTAACGAAATTCGATTAGGACTCTCCAACTTTCACATATCGAGAAATACAAGAATAGTAACCACGTAGGTCAAACTTTGACCGATAGCAACGCTTTTACTCTCTTATGTTCAATAACAGGCGAGAAAGTAAAACAGTTAAACGTATCGACAGCTTAGAATCGCGTGAAATTGTACGAGACGAGCAGAATGTTGTCCTCGACACGTTGCAAGGCTCGCCATTTAAAAAAATAATAAAACTGCACTTATTTAAGAGAGTTTTCATTAGATAAACTTTACATGTAATATCAAATAGGACAGATTTCAACTCGCCTAATTCCAAAGAGTTGATTACACTATCGCACAGCTGTACATACATATAGCTACACGTGTATACATATACATATATTTGTATTGTATGGCTTGCCTCATTTTTTAAATAATTATAAACAGCAACATTCAACGTAAAAGTAAAAGGTAACGCTTTCAAAGTTTCAGCCAGGCTGAGGCAACGAACCACCTGCATGCGGAACATGGCAAATATTCTGAAATCGCTTTGCGCTAATTTTCTAATTAACTTGCAACACATTGCATAACAATGTTTTCTAGCTTTGCTTGATCCTTATACTACATTTCTTTCTATACAACATGTAAACCATTCGCGGAGCATAATCGTACAAATTTCCCTTCCCTCCCTTTGTTCGCAAATTTGTTAGCTCTACTATGGAATGTGTTATAGTATCGAAGAGGAAGCTTTAGAAATAAGCAGCAAAACATAAGGGAAAGGAAAAGGGCCCGTGGAGATCCGTCCCTGGCCTCGGTAAGCGAAACCGGGCGGGCTGCTAACTCACCTCGTGCCACATTCCGCTGGCTCTGCCAACGTTTTCGAGAATGCACCGCGTCCAAGCTCAGGAGCACCACCTTTTGCACCGAACAATACACCTGCACCCCGGCGCGGCACTTGCCCTTTTCGAAAATTCAAACGCGCACGTGAGAGCTAGGGCGGGCTTGCATGCCTGCGACGCGATTCGTCCGTCGCTTCTGTTCGCGCAGACTCCAGAAGGTTTTCTCGTAATTCACCAAAGCAAACGTCAATTGGCCGTCGTTGTGTGCTTCCACGATAAAACAATATTATGTCTACGAAACCGGCGTCACGATCTACAAGCAGACGCACATTGATACCGAACCGCGCGAGCGATCATCACAGACTGAACCGCCGCGCCAACCGAGTGACCGCGGCACCGGCGCAGTTCATTGGCGACGCGTGGAGGGAATGCGCAGATCATAGGATTTGCGTTGCCGGCGCAAGTGAAAATTTGAATTCGGTGTCATTGAGTATAACATTACTGCAATGTTGCGAGAGTCGCTTTTATCTGTTTTGCTGATACTGCAGAAGCCCAACTTTGTCATGTAAAAAGAATGAACATACTTTTTTTTCAAACTGAGCTCTTATGAACTGTTCTCTCTAAATATTTTCTAAAACTTGAGAGATAATCGCATCGATCACTTTGTAATAACCAATTCGTACATCGATCTACATATATTCTTATAGGAATATTATTTTAATGGTGAACTGGTAAGGAATTTTTACTAGAGAATACGTTATAATTGTATAATGAATGGGGTTACTAAAGACATATCGATTCAATTCGAAATGTATATTTTACATAGGTTTCAGTCTATGTTATTTCTAAACATACGTTTTATATTCGCATATCATCCACTCGCAATATTTATCGCTAAGGTAACTGAATAATACCTTAAAATGTACTTGATAGTTAAAATTCGTTAATATGAATCAACCATGATTTTATTTTGTCATATAATCGATTGTACAGAATACCTTGTTTAGTGAAGTATACTGAATACACATAAAAGTTTATTATAATGCGCATGGATATTTCTGTAATCGTACATCAATCAAAAATAGTAAAATTATAACTGTTTTTTTTTTCTTCCTCAATAAAGATAATTTACAACATTTACCATTTTTTCTTTCAATATACCTTAAGAGCTATCCAACGATTACATTTTTTCCAATTTAAACACATTTACATGTGACATCTCGTTAAATCGATCTTTCCGCGCGTTTCTCTATATAAACAACCTACACCATAGAATCCTCAATCGTCACGCTACAAATCTCTAAATTTGTATCTTAAGACATGTAGTAGTGCATAGTTACTTTTTTTACGCATACAATAGAAACTAAGGAAACAAAAAGGTAAAACAATGTGCGTCGGCATAAAGATGAAACAAAAAAAATTTCGCTTCTCACCAGTCACACGTACAAAACTCACATGGAAAACATTAACGGGATCACCGAGTATGTTTCTCGTTAAGCAGAACGAATAATTGAATTATAATTCACGTCACCTCAAAGTCTTTAGTTCATAGTCTCGACAAGTTCTTTATTCCTATACATCAAATGTTATGTAGTTAATTGATAATTACCTATACCCCCGTTTCTGTTGCAAACATATCAACGTTTCATGCAATACATTTACTAGTGTGATTATATTACACTTAAGCAAAACAAAATTATTCTTTATAAAAATTTGTAATCGACTGATCAAGCCAGAAGCATCATACTTATTTTAACGGCAATCTATTTTCCATGCAGGTTCCATTGTTTCTAAGAAACACCGTAAACGTATAATAACAAAGAAGAAGGACACGTCCCTCGTATTACGATCTAGTAATATAATCTTGAATGTATGACGAATAAATTTACACCGACGAAATACATTAACAGAGCTACTTCGTACTTTCAGCACATCGAGAAAACGTACAGAATAAAGAATTAAACTAGAAATTTCGAAAGTGAAACATGTGAACAAGTTAAACATTTAGATAGCAGTACTTGTTTTATCGAGTACGATCAAGTACCAATCCAAAATAAAAATGCATGTTGAACGAGTCAGTAGCGTGTATTCTGTCAAGAGTTGGGGTAGAAGTTTATAATTTTCTGACAGCCAGTTACCTCAAATATCTCTCACCACGCCTGTTGTAAGAGGTAAATAAGGAAAAAATTAAAAATAGTAATGGAATAACAGCATTGCATATTGGTGGTTAGCTCATGGACACTTGTCCATTAGACAGTAGCCGTTCAACAGCAGCGTTTATATCTCCGAATGTGGCTATTAATGCTGAAAACGACACCAAAATATTGTATAAATATATTAATATACCATTGTTAATCTGAATTTTCTACTTCCATTAACACAGGCTAATTAAGAGTAGAAAGCATAATCATCAATTTTTAAATCAAGTTTGTTATAATTATTAGAAATGTTTATAAGTCAAGATAATAAAACAGGTTTCAAGATTATACGTATTGTTACCTTGTAAATTAGCGTCTCTATTAACAAAACCCATAGCCGTAAGCTGTTCTAACTGTGCTCTGTAACGCTCTTCTGGTGGAGGTACAGGTTGACCATCTACCTCTGCACCTTGATTTAATGCCATTGCTGATACCTGGCGAACGTAAAATTACCAATTAGCTCCTTTATGAATTATTCACCAATTAACGCAAACAAAATTCTTACCATGCGTGCCATAAATTGAGAGAATGTATCTTGTTGATTTGTATCCGCCGCCGGTTGTGTAGTTGGTACAGTTGGATTTGTTGCTCCAGCGTTTGGTGTTGTTGCTGCTGCAGGTGGTACAGTCATGCCCATACTAAAAAATTACACATTAATGCATTTATGTTTCACAATAAAGCTGTAACACAAAACGCTAACAACAACTTACTTTTCAACAAGTTCCGGAGCAACGGTACGTAACTGCTCCATACCCTGTTGAATTTGCATAATGGCCGCTAACGCGTCAGGATTCGTAACGACATTCTGAATTTGAGGATTCTGCATTTGCTGAATAAATGCAGGCAGCATAGCTCGTATTTGTTCCTGCATCTGTGGATTTCCTCGAAGAAACGGATTGGCAGCGATTATACTACTGGCCATAGAGGGATCCGCTGCCATAGCTTCCAGCATAGACCTCGTATACGGAGCGTTTAACATGTTTCGCATAAGCTGCGGATTTTCCATCATTTGAGCTGCAAGACTTTGCATTGCTGGCGAATCCAATAAACCTCTTCCTTGTTGTTGATTAGGAGAATCGTTGCTTTGACCCTGATTCCAAGGATTTGGCAAAGGGTCCCTGTTCTCTTGACCCTGCTGTGGATTCTGGCTATCCTGACTACCATTGTTTTCGACTAATGCTGCGAAAGGATTACGTTCGCTGTCCGCGGCTGCAAGCATAGGCTCTTGAATGTCACGATACATGCGACGAAGCGCACTGTAGCCACCAGGAATACTTTCTAGATTAGACAGAGCTCTGTCATGGGAACGCATTAATTCTTGAAGCATCGATGGATTGCGTGCCAACTCCATTGTTTGTCTAAATAAATTTAAATACTTATTAAGCAAAGAGTAGAAGCAGATAAATGTACATGTAGAATAAGTGAAAGAGATAAAAAAGATACTCACCTCAACAATTCTGGGTTATTCAGCATATGACTAATTTCTGGATTGCGTTGCATCAACTCCTGCATTTGAGGGTTAGCCGTAACCAAGTTACGCATATTCTCTGGATCGTTCATCAAACTTTGTACCAACGGATTGTCGAGTACTTGACGCATTGTTTCTGGATTTGACAATAGTTCACGTTGCATACGTTGTTGCAAATCAATAAAATTAGCAGAACCCAAGCCAAGGGATTCCAGGCCTGCGAGTCCTCCTAAACTACCTAACCCGAAGGGACTAGCACTTATGTCAGCTGAATGAAACAAAATAAAACAAAAATATATATTGTGATAGTAACATTCCATTTAATTCATAACATAATGTTTGTTATATTCATACCTTGCGGTCTCTGAGTCGGTGTAGAGTCTTGGCTTTGGTTGGAAGCAGAACGAGGTGCCTTAATAACCAGATGAACCGTCAAGCCATCCTTGACATTATGCGTACTCAACGTTTCGTGATCTTTCATGATTTTCCCCGCGAAGATCAGACACAACTGATCCGATTGAGCATTGAACTTCTTCGCAACCGTCTCTTTAAACTGTAAATTTCGGGAGAAATGGTTATTAAAGTTAACCCAACAATGACAAGCGTGATGATCAACAGTGAATCCCGTCTTCGATGAAATTTACGAATACGCGACAAGAATACTTACGTCTTTAATATTAGCATCCTCCTCGATCTCGACGGTCTGTTTCTCCTTTGGCGTTTTGACGTTAACCGTGATTTTCTTCCGTGTATCCTGGCCTTCTGCCATCTTGAATCGGTAGATGACTCGTTACTTTCGACGCTTTCGATTCTCCCTCGTCGAGGGCCAATTGCGCACCACTTTCCACGAATGCTACGATTCTTTTCGCACCACAGAAATTTCGTTCGCTACTCCCGTTCCCAAAGAAAATACGCTGAATTTTGTTAATGAGTTATTCCGAAGAACCATAAAGATCACATAGAAGGGTCAACTTGAGCGGCTATTCTATGCTAAGCCATAATGCACGATACGACGAAAGTACACGATATGTCAACGCGCTCGTGTATAGTTCCTCCAATGGCCGACAATAAATACGTTCCCTCAAGAAACGATCCCTTCGTTCCGCTAGAAGATACTTCACTGAACGTGTGAACTGTAAAACGACAATCTCTTGCGAGAAATACTTGATATTATTTACGATATACCAGGAATTGTTTTAGGTTAATAGGTTATGTCGCGTTGCCACTACTGTAACGTTAAAACACTAACCAGGCATGTAAATGGAATGTAGGTATAGAAGGAATGATGTATTTTGTAAAAAAATTATGAAATCAAAGAATATGTTATAAGGAGTTATCAGATATGTTTTAAAGGAGAATTGAAAATCTTGAACATCCTGCAAAAATAAATAAATGAATTTACAATTGCTTCGACACATTCATCAGCAGTATTTTTATCAACAAATTCAATTCTTCAAATTATTGAAACATCGATGTAAATGTAACAGTAGAAAATAAATAGTATATAGAAATAACTGTACGAAACCTGTAGTATGTATATTAAAATTTAATTTGTAATACACGTGTATTTACGTGTTCAATACACGTGAAGAAATGTGACGAATCTTAGTTACTAAAACACGTGTACACGTGTCATGGGCTCTAGTTCAAAGCGATAAAAATCTAACTAATACTACACATAAACATACTACGTGTATTCTGATAGTGATAATCAGTACATCACGATTCATTATAAGATTTATTGTAATGCATTTTTAAATAAAATTAATTGCAATTTGAAAAGAACAGTGACGTATGTCACTATATAAACTCGTTTAATCGTTACCTATCTTTTTCTTTCTCGTACATTGGAACTTTTCCATATTGGAAAACATTGCGATGACGTGTTCATTTTTATTGAGAAATAGTGAAAAATACAATCTTTGTTTAAACATAAAAGCCAATAATCAGTGATTAAAAGGAAACCAGTTTATTATTTAAAATTCTTTCATGGAAAAAGATATTAAATTCCATTTTGGCTTTGTTGTAGGAGAACCATCGATTTTCCTTTCTGGGTTTCCAGCCCTCTCAGACTCGCCCGCTCAGCTGACCGTATTTGCAGCTCTCAAGAAGGGTCAAGTCTTTCACTTTCACTTCAGTATGAGGAAGCAGCGGATGATCATCTCCATTAGCTCACTATGCTCAACCATGACTTTTACTCGATGCCTTCCATTTTGTATGAAATGACTCTATATATTCAATATTGACGCCTGTAATTGAACACCACGTTATACAATAAAGTTATCATCTTTTAAATCCCTTCTTTTAAATTTACCTGCACTCTTTGCCAATCCATCAGGACTAAAAGTAAGGACTCTCCTTTCATCTGGACTGCAACCAGTTAATAATGTGACAACTGGTGTCTCTGCATCATTCGTTATACCAACTTTTGTCTGTTGAGTAAGGTAGTGGCAACATTCTATAATTTGGAAAAATAACCATGCTTCTTTATCTTTCGGTCTTGGTCCTTTTATATATGGTAACGCTAACCGCTCGTGAGGTCTTTGCGCTCGTAGGAATCGTGAACCTCGTTTTAATTGACCTTCAAGCCAGCGTGTCGCTTCTCTTGCTCGGCCACTTATACGTTTCACTTCGTCCAAAGCAGAAACGACTAAAAATGATGTGTTATTTTTACTTTTAATCAGAAAATGTAAACTAAAATTTCATTAATTTTAATATTATCATTTTACTTACCAACGCTGGGAATTACAACAATGAATTTCTTAGCATAAACTAAACGTTTAAGAGCTGGTGTATGCTTTGCTAAAGCTTCATGGTCTGGCACTAAGTAGGGAGACATAAGCCTAGATCTTAAACGAGTCTCTAAAGCGCAAACTTCTGCCTTCAACCATAACTTGCCCATGTGCCTCATCAACTTTCCCCGCGAATGATCCATTTCCAAATCCTTACCATTACTCTTCGTTACGTTAGCGGTGTTCGCATCGATCGTTACAAACATTTGTTTCGTTTGTTCATATTTCACTCCAGCGTCTTCAACGGAATTAAGGAAGTGCCCAAATTCGATCAATTTCAATGCTCTTAGCAAAGTTTCCTCCCGTTTATTCATTTTATGTTTATATAGTATCTTCCAGTCGAGTGACCTTTGGGCATCCACCAATAGATTCAAGCCCCTCAAGTCAATATCTTCCGGCAGCGGAATGATTTTAACGCACTCCTTCAATTTATCTACGCTTGATAAAATTATGCTATCGTTCTTACAGCTTTTCAATAACGTCTCCGTATCGATGTTAATTAGATTCAACAAAATTGTAACGCGTTTCAATAAAATCCGTGAACTTTTGCTACATATTCTTATAATATCCGGGTTACTCCTTAACCAGTCGCAACATATTTTAATAGACGCCAGTATTTCTTTCCCAACCATGATATTCAGTACCTCGTCTGGTTTTAAATCTTGTTTTTTCAATTGAGCAATGTACGTTACTCTGCCCGATGAGTCATTACTTTCTTCGAACGTACTGTTAAAATTCGTTGTTACTGCGCTTCCAGGATTAGTCATAGAATCTTTATCGTCGAGTTTTTTGTCCACTTCATCGACGAACACCTGTTCACCGTTTTGTTCTTGATTAATTTCATCGATTGTTTCGACTTTTATTTCTGTTTTCACGTGTCCATTGGTTTTCTTGATTTCTGTATCAGTTGTAACTTCTTTCTTTATTCGAGTACCTGTGCCTTCGTCATCTGTAACGTCTTCCGATAATGCATCATCCGATAAAACATTACCTTCGCTTAATACATCGTCCTCTGTCTCAGAAACGTCCGAATTTACATCATCGCTGGAAGATTCGACGTCAGTAGCGTCTGAATCACTGCTATTCCTTCGTTTTCGTCGACGAAGTTTCGTAAGCAAACTTTTAGTTTTGTCTCGAATTTTCCGCGTACCATTATGAACATCCCCATTATTTTCCGCATTTCCTTTTTCGGAGGATACTTTGTCATTGTTTTTATCCGTAGATTTATCAACTTCACTTGAATCTGATTTTAATTGTTTTATTACGACGTTCTTCTCTTCCATAGGTTTATTACTGCATTCGTCTATAAAAGACTCTTGCAATCTTGTTATTGCAAATTGTATTAATTGAGATAATATCGCCAAAGTTATAGCGACGACACCTTGTACTTCACTCGATTCTTTGTTTTTTAATTGTGAAATAGACATCAGACATATAGCAACAATCTTGAATATCATATCGTCCGTTAGATAATTTACTTCTCCGTTTTTGCAGTTTTGAAGATACACTTCGATACTGCTTTCTCTTTCATTGTAATTTGCATCACTTAGTTCGGGTTGTTCTACACTCAGACAAGTTTCAATGCTGTTCAAGAGATCCTGACATTCCTGATTTATTCTATCAGAATTTGGTACATCATAATCCCATAATTGTAATAAGGAAAACAATCTTGATATGCACATGCGGATGGAACACTTTTCATCTATGCAAATAGAATGAGTGACAATTGCTCTCTTTAAATTTCCTTCCGCTCCTTCAAATGGTTCAGTACAGAGGACACATCTCATGTAGTGATACACTGCATCGAGACCATAATTTTTATTGCCCACTACAGTGCCCAATTGATTGTGGGGTAATCCAATATTCGGATCAATCGCTATAGCCATTTTGTAATATCTTTTTGCTATCATCGGATCCCAAAATGGATCTAATTCTAGTTTATATCTAGCTAAATCCCCAAGGCATACCAAGCTTCTATGTATAAATCGCACAACACACAGTTTTGTTTCTTCTGTATAAACTTTAGATTGACTTGGCTTATTCTTCACCTTTTGAAATATACAAAAAAAAAGTTAAGAATTAGATTAGTTTCATGGTACTTGTTATAATTAACTATTTGCATGATTATATTCTAATTTGCATAACAACAATATTAAGAAAAACTTACGCTTAACAATTCAGTGTCATTTTGTGTATGAACAAAATCAATAGCACCAACCAAATCTAAACCATATTCTAATTGCAATTTCAGTATCAGGTGATGATAAAAACCTACCCCTACAGCCAAATGAACAGATAACACTGCTTTTTCTGTTTCTGTCCATGTATTACCCTACAATAAGATTTGCATATTTTAATATTTTTACCAAAAGATTAGCAATGTAAATGTTATAATATGCATATAAAAAAAATTAATACCTTTCGCAATTTTTTAGCAGCATAAACATTATCATAAAACGCTTTCCTCCATAACAACTCCTCAGTTTTACGTGCATATCCAATAGGATCTTTAATTATTAACCTTATGCAATAATCTTTAAGCTTCACACGCAGTGTTTCCCCTGACGGGGTAAACAAATCTGTTATTGTTATTGCACGGCTCTTTTGTTCATCTAATCGTTTGGCAATATCTGTTATACCCCTATGAAATCAAATATATTTTTTATTGTCTTCTGTGACCTCGCATAACCTATTACTATACTTTATTAAAATTGTTTCAATATTAGATGTTGGTAACCATATAATTTAGGTATATTTAGGAATAGGTATATTTTTTAATATAATAAAAAATATCACGATATGATTCATATAATGCATATTATATAATTTGGTGTAAAACAAAGATAAAGAATATATCTTAACAAGAGAAATAACATAAATTCCATAATATACATATATGTATTCGCATTCATTTATCGATGACATTGATAAAACATCTATCAATGTTTATCACATTACAAACAGGTTGAAAAAAAACAATACTTAAGATAAAAAAAGAATCTAAATATATGTAGACAAAGTTATCGAGTTTTTATCGCAATACAAGAGCTCAATTTTTATGCATACTAATTTTTTGCATGCCCATAGTTAATTTGTCTTGGATATTAGACAGGACCAGCATAAACTATTTACAAGTGGCAAACTGATATCATAACCTTTTCATTGTGAGAATTTCCTAAGAAACAAAAGAAAAGAGATGTACGTAAAAGCGCGCCAATTGGAGATCGTGCGCGAATTTAGGTTATGTTAATGCAAGGTGAATTTCGTGATACTCGAGTAGCATTAAAAAAGGAGTTCCCCAAAATAACGCATGACGTAAATAAGGAGAATTACTGGCTTGTAGAAGTTACGATATTACTTGTGCAAACGTCTCGTTTGTTCGAGACAATCAGACGTTCGGACGTCTGCTGCAGTATTATAGGTCCTCCTCATTTTGCTTCGATCATTTTTCACTTCCTGGCCACTTCGTCATTATTCATTTTCCCGCGGTCTCCTGACACGCGCACCTCCGTCCCACAGTAAGAAAATTCGACATTCGCCCTTGCCTAACTCCAAAAACCTCCCACGAACTGCAAACCTTACACAATTACAAGTAGGTGCGTTCACATAGACGCAGTTTGTTCAACGGCACTGCGAATAAAATTATCTGGAAATCATCGTAGCAGTCTTGCCAAACATAACATTTTTCCACTGCGAAGCAAACTATTAATAAATTAAAAAACTAGAATTGTAAAAAATATCCATACGTGAGAAGCAGGGTCCTCGTTTCACGAGCTGTTTTACTTGTGGCGCTGATGTTGATTTTGGAAGGCTTATCGTTATCATACAACCTCTGCGTAGGTTATGGGTTAGTTGCTAAGCAACAGGCGTCAAATGTTTTGAGGCATCCAGAAAGCTCGCCGCTCACTAAGCTGCTCTGTGAGCGAGGTTTGGTGGCGCCATCGGTAGCAAAATGTCCAAGTTTGTAGTGAAAGTAGTTCCGACCAGTTTTGTTATCGAGGTTTCCGATCAAGGCTAAGGTATCGTAACTACTCTAACAATAATAGACGACACATGCGTACACATGCGCACTAACAGCTGTATGATAATTCAAAAGAATAGCAGTTAATTCCATATTCCCATATCCCATGGTTCAGAAAGGTTAATCCTGTCACACGAATCAAATTTATTTATTTTGTAATTCGTAAAAGTTTATATAAGTAATAAACACAAGAATAGTCTATCATAATTTCATTCAAGTTATTCTATTAATCTCTGAGAGTTTCTTTTAACACGCGTACAAACAAAATACAAGAATGGACGAGTTGTCTATATGGGAACCAACACTGCAAAAAACTATGATAAATCTACGAAGTACATTACTCCTGTTATACCAAATATGGGAAGAGATAGGATTTACAAAAGAAGCCTGTTCCATGTATTGTGAACAGGTATTTTCTCATATAAATGACCTCTTGCAAGAAATGGTTTCAGAAGCACAACTGAGAAAAAAAACAATACTAAGCAATGTTACACAATTAATGGACCAAACTTCTGCTATAAGTAAGGAATTAGGAAGAGTGGTTCAAACTACTGGATATGAAAATTATTCATTGAAAGACCTAGAGCAAGTGCTATCTTCAGATTTACAAAAGTTGCAATATTGCAAAGATCAGCGCATGGCACTTTTAAAGGAATTGCGTGAAAAGGAACAATCCCTTTGCAGAGTACTTGGTACTCAACCGATCAATTTAGAGAACAATTTACCATCTGAGGAGGAACTAGAGAGTTTTAAACTATATCTGGAAAAGCAAGAAGGCGAGAAGAATCGTTTAGAATCAGTTTTTAAAGAAATGCGCAGAACAATCATCAAAATGATAAATGACCTGGGCATATCTCCATCCACTAATTTTGAACATTTTATATACACAGATGGTGAAAACTTTGTTCTCAATAGCAATAATATGATCAAATTGAAGGAACTTAGAGATGATCTTAAACATCAGGTAGACAAGGTAAAAAAACATGTGGAGGATCTTACACAAGAGTTACATGCAATATGGAAAAACCTTGATGAGCCAGATCATATTTGTCAATCATTTCTTAGTAGTTACAGTGGATACAGTGTTGCAACTAGAAATGCTTTACAAGAAGAATTAGCACGATGTAAAGAAAAAAGAAAGCAAAATATTGTAAAATATGTGTCACAAGTGAGAGATCAATTGGTGAATTTATGGGATTTATGTAAATTCAGTGAAGAGCAAAGAAAACAGTTCCAATATTTTCATTGTCAGACATACACAGAAGATTTATTGACATTACACGAGCTCGAAGTAAAAAGAGTACAGAAGTTTTATGAGAGCTATAAGCACATATTTTCACTCTTAGAACAACGTGACAACTTGTGGACAAAAATGAAAGAACTGTTGCAACGTGCAAATGATCCAGACCGTTTCTACAATCGTGGTGGTCAGTTATTAAGGGAAGAGAAAGAACGTAAGAGAATCCAAAAACAGTTACCAAAAATGGAAGAGCAACTTAAGAATTTAATAAAAGAGTATGAAGAAATAAATGGGGAAGAATTTACTATAAATGGAATGTCAATAGAGGAAGCATTAAAGGAATCATATAATCATTTGAACAAAAAAAAAGAAACAATAAAAAAGACTAGGAAAGAAGCAAAAGACAAATCATTGAAAAAAGTAACTTTAAGTGCTTCTAAGAGACTTACACCCAATGCATCAAAGAAAGCACTAGGTGTGACGAGTACTTGTCGCTGGAAACCACTGGGTACATCAAATAGAAAGTTATTGTACACTCAATCTCCAAATACATCAGCAAAACATAGAAATCCTGGCAGTGGATCTAAATTAAGGAGGAATGGAAGAGCTGCAAGAAAGATCTTACAATCTAAAAAAGAAATAACTAAACGTGAGGAAGATAAAGAAAACTCTATGTCGCAAAGTTCAGTTGATATGGATACAACATATAATCTATTCAAAAAATATTTAGAAGATAAAAGAGATCTCCAAAGTTCCGTATTATCAGAACAAATTTTAATAAATGAAACTATATCCAGAATGAAGACGCCGGTACGAACCCCCGCGAAATCAATGCGGAAAAAGTTATCGTCCAAGACAACACCTACAACTTCTACGTTAATGGAATCACAATTACTTAAATCATCTCGTAGTCCTAGACTTGTACAATCGTCAAAGCTTGCTACTACATCAACACCTTTACCTACAATCTCTTGATTTATAATAAGAATCCTAGGAAGTAATTCATATCTTAATTCGCGAAAGGTAGTTTTTAAATATATTAAATTCATAACCAAATAATAACTTTAACATGTATAAATTCGATAATTTTTAAAAAATTGACGGTTGTTTAATTAGGATAGTGATAGAAGATATTTATAGAAGATGCTTTAGATATCTAATTGGAAGATTAATTTATTTTTATTACGTCTTTGAATATGTAAGGCGAGTTTGTTAATGCGTCTTTCGTGCTATATTATTTAACTACAATCTATCGTATACGCGTGTATTAAGTAAGAATTATAATACAAATTATTGCGCACATGAAATAGCATTTACAAAATCGAATTTTAAATAAAATTTCAATTTTGCAAAATTTGTAATACCATAAGTGTAGATTTTCTATAAAATATTATTATTAGAAACGTACGTTTAAATGCAGTTTCGTAAGTGATAATATTTTTCATAATATATTCATTTACACTTTGTAATATATTTTACATATTTTTTTAAAAAAATGTTTAAAAGCAACATAAATCTGTAGTAATTATTGTATAAGCCATACCAAAAATTTATTAAACATGACCATCAAATTATATTTTCATCAAAGATACGCTATATTATTATCTAGATAAAAATATATTTAGATCTGTGAACATTTCATAAAAAGTACAATTTGAATTATAAATTCAGATATTATTTTATGTTATACAGATAGAAATTATCATAAAAACTGTTCATTGTAATTGAAGTTACAAATCGATCACTTTATTGTCTCCATTCATATATTATTCGAATAAAGTTATCTCCGTTTTCCGGTTGACGCAGTTGACGCCATAGAGGCAGTAAAGTTGTTGTGTATTCGGTTTCTTAGTAGGTTATACTGGTTTTATTCAATAAATACGCGAATGATATTCGCTATACTTTAAGTGTATCATTAGAATTTTAAAATGGGTGATATAAAATCTTTTCTTCATCAATGGTGCGCAAAAACTTCAAAAGAACCACAATTTGATGTGAGACCCACAGGTATCGTATTATTGTTTTCTATGCTACACAAAATAATACAGTGAAAATCCTCCATTTATGTGGTTAATTTGTTCTAAAACTTTTTATGTAAATCAAATATTTTATTGATACGTACTCGTATAAATGTATGTATAAGGTATGTATTTGAAGTTGTTTTCATAAATGTTATAATTTTAATAGGTCCAAAACATAGACAGCGTTTTCTTTGTGAACTTCGTGTATCTGGCTTCGATTATGTCGGTGCAGGAAACTCAACCAACAAAAAAGATGCACAGGGAAATGCAGCAAGAGATTTTATTAATTATTTAGTCCGTACAGGACATGTAAATGCTGATGATGTTCCAAAAGATGCAGGCACAGTTCAGCCACGAGATACAGGACCTAGCAATTCAGAATGTTTTACACCACTAAGATCTGTGTTCCAAGATGGAATGGGTCCAAATGATATAGGTCCAGCATATAGACCTTACAGTGAACATGGTCATGGCAATTATACATATATGGACAGAATAGCAGATCAGAAAAAGGTTGAAGATGCAGAAGATGTTGATGTAAATTCTGGAATTCATGGGAATTGGACTATTGAAAATGCTAAATCAAAGCTTCATCAATTTATGCAATCTAACAAAATTAATGCTGATTACAAGTATACCCCAATGGGTCCTGATCATACGAGGTATGGATTGTTTCGATGTACCTGTTTATTTTTGCATTGGATTGGACTTATCACTGCAATATCCTGACACTACTTGAAGTCCCAGATTGTCATACAAATTTTAGTCAAGATAATATGAAGGAATAGCATGAGTGATTTTTGTACCACTTGAAACTCGACAAGACCATTCTGGAGTACACTATTGTGCTCAATGCTGGTACAAGAGAAAATTAGGGAGATTATTTTCTCTTGTGCACAGATGGGGATGATGTTTAACCACAACTTTTATTGAAATGATTCAATAACGGTTTTGGTGCAGTCAATCATATAAACTTAATAAAATGTGCTCCAATGTGGTCTTGGATATTTTCAAGTGGTAAGTTAAATTTATGTTATAACAATTATTTGTTAGATACGTTATAGTTATTATAAATATACAAAATATATTAATAATAAAAAGAAATTTTATTTTCTTAGGAGCTTTATGGCTGAACTATCAATTTATGTGAAACAACTTGGGAGAAGTATGTTGTCGAATTATTTAAATATTTATTCAAATTTCCTGTAAGTAATGATGTATTTGAATGATATGCAGGATGATTTGGAAATAGGACATTGAATGTTATTCAGATACATACAATTACACAATATTATAAATTATATTCACTTCATATATGCATCATTACTTATAAGAAAACCTAATATAAAAGTTTTGAAAGCACAACATTTTAATTTCAACAAATTTTAGATGTCACTGGTCGTGAAACTGGTTCAAACAAGCAGACCGCATCAAAAAGTTGCGCTTTGTCTCTCGTTCGGCAATTATATCATCTTGGCGTCATCGAGGCATTCAGTGGTACTCTAAAGAAAAATAAAGAAGGAGAACAAATCAAGCCTTATCCAGTAAAGATTTCACCAGAGTTGGAAGCTCAGATTCATGATGTTTTATCAAGTTTAGACATAAAACCTGTTGCAGTAAATGTAAATTAGACACTTTTTAAATATTATGATGTAATGAAATTGCAGTAACTAGTATAGTTATATTCACGAAGCATATTTATGTTGTAGAAATTACCTATAAAATCAGAAGATGATCAATCTAGCACTGGTGTCTCTTTAATAACAAATCAAGTATTGGATGATTTTATTTCATCCGTTCCACAACCTGCTGGTGTAGTGAGTTGGTCTCCGCCGCAACAAAATTGGAATCCATGGACTGGCTGCAATATAGATGAAGGACCATTAGCTACTATAACTTTAGAGCAAATGTCAGATGATTTGCAACATGAACAACGAGAGAGATTGCAGCAAGATGACAATCTGCAAAAGAGTATTAAAGAAAGATCCACTTTGCCAGTCTTCTTAAAGAAAGGCGAAATAATGAACGCTATAAACGAAAATCCAGTGATAATTATTCGAGGAAACACAGGCTGTGGTAAAACAACTCAAGTATGTCAGTTTATTTTGGATGATTATATCGCATCAGGTCAAGGTGGATTTTGCAGTATTGCAATTACGCAACCTAGAAGAATATCTGCTGTGTCTGTAGCTGATCGAGTTGCTGTCGAAAGATGCGAATGTTTGGGACAATCTGTTGGTTATTCTGTAAGATTTGAATCTTATTTGCCGAGACCCTATGGTAGTATAATGTTCTGCACCGTTGGTGTGCTTCTGAAGAAATTGGAAGGTGGCTTAAGAGGTGTATCACACGTTATAGTTGATGAAATTCATGAACGAGATGTAAATTCTGATTTCATTATGGTAGTTCTTCGCGATATGATTCATATGTATCCAGATTTGCGAATTATTTTAATGTCGGCTACGATCGATACATCATTGTTCAGTAATTATTTCAACAATTGTCCCGTAATAGAAATACCAGGTCGGGCATATCCTGTGCAGCAATATTTCTTAGAAGACTGTATACAATTAACGAATTTTGTACCACCTATGGATTCTAGAAAACGCAAAAGTCGCGATTCAGATGATCTGCCAACTGAAGGAGAAGCGGACGAAAATTTGAATAAGGTCGTTAGCGGAGAATATTCTATACAAACAAAAAATGCAATGTCGCAACTTACGGAAAAAGAGATCAGTTTTGAACTTATAGAGGCTCTTCTGAAATATATCAAGGATCAAGGTATACCAGGTGCCGTACTGATCTTTTTACCTGGTTGGAATTTAATATTTGCATTAATGAGACATCTACAAATGCACCCCGTTTATGGAGGATCGAGTTACATAATTATACCATTGCATTCGCAATTACCTAGGGAAGATCAGCGTAAAGTTTTCGATCCTGTGCCACCAGGAATCACGAAAATCATTTTATCCACAAATATCGCTGAAACATCTATTACGATTAACGATGTAGTCTACGTAATAGATTCTTGCAAAGCTAAAATGAAACTCTTTACTTCACACAATAATATGACAAATTACGCCACTGTTTGGGCGAGTAAAACGAATTTGGAGCAAAGAAAAGGTCGAGCAGGTCGCGTCAGGCCAGGATTTTGTTTCCATTTGTGCTCCAGGGCACGTTATGTTAAAATGGACGAACATATGACTCCAGAAATGTTTAGGACACCTTTGCATGAATTAGCGTTGAGTATTAAATTACTAAGATTAGGTAGCATTGGAAAGTTTTTGTCGAAAGCAATTGAATCGCCACCTATAGACGCTGTAATTGAAGCTGAAGTTATATTACGCGGTACGTTTTGTTTCTAAATTGTCCACTATTGTTTTAATATCTAAAAATACTTTGTATCTTAACAAATGTTCTTTAATTACAGAAATGAAGTGTTTAGATGAAAACGATGAATTAACGCCACTTGGTAAAATATTGGCTCGTTTACCTATCGAGCCACGTTTAGGCAAAATGATGATTCTCGGTTGCATGTTTCGTGTCGGTGATGCACTTTCAACAATGGCTGCAAACAGTACCACATTTCCAGAAGTATATAATATGGGACCCGACTCTAGACGGTTGACTGCTCAACAAAAATGGTTTGCTGGTGCAAGGTACAGCGATCACGTGGCGATGCTACACGCATTCCAAGCATGGGAAGAAGCTAGAGATGGCGGAGAATATGCAGAACAAGCATTTTGTGATTCGAAAAATTTAAGCTTGCCTACATTAAGGGTTACATGGGAAGCTAAGAATCAATTGTCATCGCTTCTACAAAGTGCTGGGTTTCCGGAAGAAACTCTTTGTCCTACACCGTTAAATTATCAAGCAGGCGCGGATGTTCGGCTTGACACAATTACTGCTTTGTTATGTATGGGGCTTTATCCAAATGTTTGTTATCATAAAGAAAAAAGAAAAGTTCTTACTACTGAATCGAAAGCAGCTCTAATTCATAAAACATCAGTGAACTGTAGTAATTTTGAACAAAACTTTCCGTTTCCATTTTTCGTATTTGGAGAAAAGGTACGATATGTTACATACGTTGGTTATTCTTGATAATTACGCGTTAATACTAATATTTATACTTCCTCTCAGATTCGTACAAGAGCGATATCTTGTAAGCAAATGACCATGGTATCCCCAATACATCTATTATTATTTGGTTCTCGAAAAGTCGAATACATTGACGATGTAGTGAGGTTAGACAATTGGATTAATTTAGAGATGAATCCGCATCACGCAGCAGCAGTAGTGGCTTTACGACCTGCCTTGGAAAGTCTTGTTGTGAAGGCTGCAAAAGACCCAGAAACTATTTTAGAACTAAGCCCTATTGATGAAAAAGTACTATTTTATGACTGTCGATCAAATTTTCATACCTTTCCTCGGTTTTGCGCACTTCTCGATCTTTTAAGATTTCCTGAGCCCGAAAGTGCAGAAAGCCATTGTATGATGACTTCTGTATATTGAGCGTTATAACATCAAACTTCGATAAATATGTCTTTCTGTCTTGTAGGTATTAAGTTTAATCAAAGCACTATGCGGAATGAATGCCTGCCGTTACGAAATGGAACAGATCACAGGTGGTGGTTTTCATTCTCGAAGGCCACCAAGAGGACATACAGTTGGTGGTTTACTTTCGGAAGGAGGTAGTCCTCCGAAACTGATGCGAGGTAGCGGTGGTTTTCGCGGCGCTCCTCGTGGTGGAGGCTATGATAATGGTAGAGGTGGAGCTGGTTTCTCAAGAAATAGTGATTTCGGCGGATACAGAGGTGGTGCGAATAGAGGTTATGGAATGCATAATTCACGCGGAAGAGGCGGGGGATATTGGGGCGGTCGAGGGGGAGGTTTCCGTGGCCGTTTTTAAGTATGTGTTTGATCCTCGAGGTGGGAATAGTGAAAATTAACTACAATGTGAAATCAATGTGTTACATGAGATGTCTTATCTTCTAAGCAAAAATTTAAATGCAGTATATCTTTTTGTTTCTTTCACGCGTTCCGTTAATAATGCAATCGTTTTCTAAATGTTGATAATTGTTTCCAGAAGTAATATATATATATATATATTTGAAAAATGTATGTATGTACACACATTTACTTTATTTATAATTGTAGTATTATAAAAGAACAATACATTACGAATTTAAATTACAATTTGACACTTTTTCAAATTCGTCTAATAATACTTTTTTTGCTCCTCTTGTTAACACCCGCTTTTCTAGTTCTGGTGGTAACTTAACTCCGACTAATGTAGATACCGCGCTCTTTTTAAGTAATCCAGCATCTTTTCTTCTTCTACGTTGTAATTTTTTGGTTTCTACTATTTTATTCTTTAACACATGTAATTTCTGAATGTGTTCCAATAATTTTTGTTTGGTTGACAGCTTTATTTTGCATATATTGCATTCATGTTTTTGTTCTAAATGTTTAATTTTTATATGAGCATCTAAACCTCCTTTAGAATAATAGGCTCGAGGACATTTGTCATAAGGACAAGGTATTAATAGTCTTATTTTCATATGCACTTGAGAATGATATCTTAAGTGACGTTTATGTAAGAATACTTTATCGCAATCCTTGCACCGATAATCTAAATTAATAAGTATATTATTATTTAAAAGATTGAAGAAAATCATACATACAATGAATCATGAGGAAATTACATTAAAAAATACATACTATTCACATGCTGTGTTCTCCTATGAGCACAAAGGAGTGCCCATTTCCCAAAAACTTCAGAACATCCTGATACAGTGCAAGGATACAATTTCTGTTCTGATTTATGATTTTCTTTATGTCGTTTAAATTTTCTAAAGTCTGTAAAACTTTTATTACATTCATCACATTTGTGTAATACCCCAGTGTGTGTTGTCATATGTGTTGCAAGATGATATTTTTTAGTAAAAACTGCGTTACATTCTTTGCATGTCAATTTACCATTCTTATGCACAGAGTTATAATGGCGTTTCAAGTTATGTATATGACCTCTAATGTTTAATGGACACTCAGGACACCTCAAATCATAGGAAACAGAATATAAGTTTAAACAATGGATACAGACCCTATAAAATAAATTTTACTCACTTATACAATTTCTTTATCATAACATGAGTCTCCATATGTCGTTTTAAATGAGAAGAATTAGTATAGGCTTTATCGCATCCTATATGATTGCATTTGTGATTTCTCTGAAATTAGAAAGGAGATAGAATTAGAATGATATCAAGTTTAAAAAGATGTGTAAAATAAGTAATACCTCTCCAGTATGAAGTCTAATGTGTCTATCTAATCGGGATGGCTTAGAAAAAGCAGCATTGCATTCAGGGAAAGTACATTTGTATCTTTTCTCTTCACCAGAACCTTCATCTTTCACGACCTGAGCAAATGCAGGATCAGATTTTTTATTCATACTATGTGTTCCATATTTATGAAACACTTCATTGAACTCTGATGCTTCCTCTCTCCCCATGATGTTTCAAATAATTTTTTCCTAAACATGTTTGAAAACAGAAATATAAAAAAGTATTTTTGTTTTCTATTCATTAAAATACCTGATTTGTATAGAAATTGTAAAATAGGAGTCATTATAATTTCTCTTACCTTAACCTTTCACGACAACTTTCGAAGATTATTTATGTAGGCTATTTTAACTTAATTTTATGAATATTTTTATCGTTAAACATAAATAACATCCTGTACTATTCTATTTATACAAATACAGTATTTTTTAGGAAACTACTAGCATTTAGTTTACGTATATTACTGATTCACGGAACACGTGTCGAAAATCAGTTGTGAGACTAAACTAACTCGACTAACTTTTTTTGGACCCAATCGATCGACGAAGCGTCATGGTGTAATCAGCTGTTGATACGTTTCAGACGAAGTTATACTTTTTTTTGAATAATTTTTCCGATATTATATCCAGCAAGTTTCTTTATGGCTAGATACGAAAGGCATGAAATAAAATTACAGTGTCGTTAAAATTACATATCATACGTTCAGCAACAGATTCTAGACAAGCAATAGTGTATAGGAAGGTTAGGTTTGCCTACGTTCATTTGACAGCACACAAAGGTGAGATCGGATGCCAGATTATAATCACATAAATAGTTCAAGAGCTAATGATAGATTATAATGTACATGTATATAAGAGTGAAATATTATTTTCGAAGGATATTTCTTGAATTGTGGAAGATACGATGCGTATGAAATTCTATAAGAGGTTAGATCATCTTCGGTGTTTGACGTTAGATTTTTGTTCTTTACGTTTTATTAATATAAGCGTAGAATTTGTATAGAACGAGTACACGAGCGTAGAATTTAAGAATCTGTCGACTGATACAGTGAAAAAGAAATATCAAGCAAACGTGACTTAAGTGTGTCACTGACATATTAACAGCTGTGATCTAACTCTAGTCGTATTATTTTCGAAAATATTTAATTTTGTGTAGGCTTTAAGATTCGCTTTCAATATAAAGAACCAGTGTAATATATATTATTTTAATGGGAGTAACAAGTGTTTTATGAATGGTGTTAGAATCTGTAAAAAAATAATGGGTCAAACACTCAGCGAGCCTGTGACAGCCAAGAAGTCGGCATGCTGCAGGGACTCAAACTACAGAGTCGGCAGTTCGTGTATGCAGGGTTGGCGTACTAAAATGGAAGATTGTCATGTACACATACTTTCATTACCCGATGATCCAGGTACTGCATTCTTTGCAGTATATGATGGCCACGGAGGTAAGAATGTAGCAATAAAAATGTTTTTGATTATCAGTAGAAATACAATTTTCTAAAAGTATACATTAAAAAATCACCACTTAATATAAAAACCAATTAACATGAAACGAACCAAAAAATGTATACTTCAAGAGGAAATTTCAGGTTTTATTGTGGCCACTATAAATAGGAAGTTATAGTAAATAAGTATAACTGTAATTGCTTCACGTTCAAAGAAGTGATAGATAATATTGATAGGTGCAGCAATGTCACAACATGCTGGAAAACATCTTCATGAATACATAACTAAGAGAAGCGAGTATAGAGCAGGTAATATTGTTGAAGCTATACAACATGGCTTCTTGGAATTAGATGAAGCAATGCAAAATGATGAAGTACTTAGAGATGAACAAGCAGGAACCACTGTAACAGCACTCCTTATTAAGGACAATGTTATATATAGTGTAAGTTTTCTGTAACTTACAATAACTTTTTACTTTTATACTTTATCTAACATTTCATAGGCAAATGCTGGCGATAGCAGAGCAGTGGCAAGTATTAATGGTAACGCAGTATCCCTCAGTCGAGATCATAAACCGACATTGAAAGATGAACGTGAACGAATTAAAGCTGCTGGTGGTTGGGTTGAATTTAACAGAGTTAATGGTACGCTTGCGTTATCTCGCGCTCTTGGAGATTTTATGTTCAAACGAAATGATCGTAAATCGGCACAAGAACAAATCGTGACTGGTAACTTAACCTCATAATAATCTGTTTAGAACAAAAATGGATAGTAATGAGAAACATTTATTTAAATAATTATTTCATATCTACAGCTTTCCCCGAAGTTCGACAATATCAAATAACGGAAGATTGGGAATTTGTTATTTTGGCTTGTGATGGTATTTGGGACGTAATGACCAGCGCAGAGGTAGTTAACTTTGTACGAACACGGATATCGACATGTAGCCCAGGTCAAGAACACGACACGATGTATCCCGAGGACATTTGTGAAGAGCTTATGAATCATTGCCTTGCACCAGATACTCTAATGGGTACAGGTTGCGATAATATGACGGTCGTCCTTGTTTGTTTCCTTCATGGAAAACCGTATTCCCATTTAATTCTACGTTGCAAGGAAACAAGTAGTACAAATCCCTAGTTATTTAAGTTATTATTATTATTTTATCTTGATCATCTTTTAAATTCTTTATGTAACATTTTGCATCACATTGAAACTAGCGTGGTTCATTACTATCACCATTGTGCAATAGTTATAAAATCTTTAAGCTTCATCATGGACTCTTACATTTTTAAACTTTATGAACGTAAGTTTCTGAAGAACAGCATTCATTTCTACGAAAACATTTCTATTTGTCAATATTGTCGATGTGGCTTGTTCGTTACTGTAAAGAGAAAATTACAAGTAAGCCGAATTATAAGCTTTTATTTACAATTTCGAACAATGGACAAGAAGTGTCCAGATATAAGTTTAATAACAATCTTAATAAAATGCAGTACGTTTTCATTCAAAGTCCGTAACGGTCCTGTAGAGACGTAACAGCCGCATTGGCAAGGGAACTTAATCTTCCTGCGACCTTATTCACACCTTGACGTACACTTTCTTTTACATCATCTAAATCCACAACTCCAGCTCTTCCACCGCTAAGCCGCATTGACAACGAAGACGTGGGAGATGTTGGCGTAGAACTTCCTGTGCCAAAGTAGTCAGCTGACGAAATGCTGGATGAGCCTTCGAAACGACGCAAATTGCTTTTACGTTCCCACTGTAATTAAAATAATATGAAATTTTATCTTGAATTAAAAACCAAACAAAATTATAAATAATGTGTACTCACAGAATCATCATCTTTGCTGTCTTGAAAATACTGATCTGAACTAATAGCCTTGGCACTACCGAACTTCTTTTGTGCTTCACCTTCCGCCGTTATTGTTTTGCTGTCGTTCTTAGTGCTGTTTGGACGGCTTGACGGGGCTACTCGTTTCGGTGGTTCTGGCTCTGCTATAACAACAACTTCTTCGTTGCGAGACTTATTATTACTATTGTTACTATATGGGGTTGATAAGGCCTCGTAAAATTCGTCTAAGCTAATGAAAAGACCTCTTTCACCATCAACAATTCTCGGTTCAGATGCAGTTATAGTCTTTGATGATGTTTCCTGCGTTATTGT